CCAGCCTTCTCAGTCAGTAGAGCATGGGAAGCTGAGAAGTCCTTGACTAGTGTAAGCACTACTTAGCAACAACTAAAACATGGGTGTGTTATCAACATTATTCTCAACCTAAATCCAAAACACAGCACTGTACCAGCTACTGGGAAGGAAATTAACTCTATCCCAACCGAAACCAGGACACTAGCAAACTACGTGTTTCTGACTTTTGTTTACTGCAATACAAACCATCTCAAGGAGTTTAAACTTATTTCTCATCTTACTAAGGCACTAATGTGAAATTTGATTTCGTATTAATTATATAGGATAATTAATACTATTATATTGATATTGTAAAATAGATATGTGGAGAAATAGTTAAAAAAATATGATTAGGAAAGGAGCATATTTTTAAAATATGGCTTACTTTGTATGGGTTTATTGAATTTGTTTTAACTGCTTCTTATATCTGTGCCTCTGTGTGTTTCCTCAATTCCAGATTTCAGACAGAACTCAATTACGATGTTTTGGAAGTTCATGATGGACCAAATTTATTATCTCCACTTCTGGGATCTTACAATGGTACACAGGTCCCACAATTCCTGTTTAGCAGTAGCAATTTCATTTATCTTCTCTTTACAACTGACAACAGTCGTTCTAACAATGGATTCAAGATTCACTATGAAAGTAAGTAATTCTGAATTGTATTATTTGATTTCCCCATCAATGATTATCCTAGTCATAAATAAATAAAGGCGCACAGGTGTCGTCTTTGGTAAATTCCTGTTATTTCTCAAACTGAGAAAGATTTAGTGATGTTAAACTACAAAAGGGATGAGCAGTAATTTCACTTACAATTTTATGTTATTGCTGTACTGCACGATGCTTTAAGAATCAGCAGATGGAAATGAGAAGCAAATGCCTTTCTTCTGGATGTTGTTTTTATGTCTTGTTATTCTTATTTTTTATACAATGCATTTTTGTGTGTGTAAAACGCAATGCTACACGCTTGGGGAAGAGTGGCTGGAAAGCTGCCCGGCGGAAAAAGACCTGGCGGTGTTGGTCAACAGCCAGCTGAATATGAGCCGGCAGTGTGCCCAGGTGGCCAAGAAGGTCAATGGCATCCTGGCCTGTATCAGAACTTGTGTGGCCAGCAGGAGTAGGGAAGTGATCGTGCCCCTGTACTCGGCACTGGTGAGGCTGCACCTCGAATACTGTGTTCAGTTTTGGGCCCCTCACTAGAAGAAGGACATTGAGGTGCTGGAGCATGTCCACAGAAGGGCAATGAAGGTGGTGAGGGGTCTAGAGCACAAGTCTTGTGAGGAGCGGCTGAGGGAACTGGGGTTGTTTAGCCTGGAGAAAAGGAGGCTGAGGGGAGACCTCATC